CTCTCTCTCTCTCTCTCTCTCTCTCTCTCTCTCTCTCTCTCTCTCTCTCTCTCTCTCTCTCTCTCTCTCTCTCTCTCTCCTGTCTTCAAAGAGTACGGAGAAAAGGCAGTCAAAGGATTGCACTTCTCTCTATAAAGAAGCAACACGATGCACAGGCAAAAAAGCTATGCTTTTTATTTTATTTTTTGACACAAAACATAATTTTTTATTAATGCCGAAAAGGAGACCGGGAAACCTCCACAAACAACCCATTACCCAGCTTCGGTGCAGGCATCTGGTAATAAGTCCTGTGACAGAAATGGCCAACTCTCGACCGCTGTCCTGACAAAAACCTGGATCGTGGGAAATAACCAGCGCCATCACAGCAAAGATAAAAACTTGAAAAAGGTGTTGCAGCAAAATCCATCAACAATAAGAAATCAGTGTTAAAACTTAAAAGATATGTCTGTTGCATGTGAATGTGAGAGAGCTGCTCTGTTGTTTTTTTTTGGATTTCAAAATTCAGCCTGGGGCGCTACAGAGGGTGATACACACCTGCCGAAACCATCGGTTCGAGGCTCCTGACGTGGGAAGCATCACTGGCTGGAAAACAGTTTCCGCGTTCCTAGATGGCGCTATTTCATACACCGACCAGTGGTTCCCGGCAGCATTGGTTGCCCTGGGAGACATCAGGGGATTTACTGCTAGGCTGTAAGGAAATTGCAAGATCCAGCTAGATAGCTGACCCTATACAATCATTATTGGACACATGAAACCGCTGTTGGAATCCAAGCCCAACCTGGGTTAGCTGATTGTGCAACATTCCCTGGACTGGAGCTGCTCTAGTTTTAATTAATGATCACTTCAACTGCAATCAATCGCCAATCGATAGCGCAGAACAGAGAAGACTCAGGGTAGATTCACAGCAACAATCAAACTGGCAAGTCGACACCAAGAAGATGAAGTTGCCTCCCAGACACTTTTCAGTATACAAGAACAGAGGCCAATTACAAGCTGTTAATGGCCACAATCGCCAATGGGCCTGCAAAGGTAAGCACTCTGCCTCTTCTCTCCCCCCCCCCC